ATACATGGCGTCATAGGCCAGCCCACCTGGCACAGTTACTGGAACCCAAAGAAGATAATGCGTTCGCTGTGGAAAGGAGTGCCCTCCCAGGGACCTGCAGGTCCTAGGCAAGGGGATGCTGCCATCTTGTGGTGGGAGAGGCCCGGCGCTCCTCTCCAGTTGCTGTCCCTGCCCGGAGCCAAGCTGACCTTCGCCCGCCTCTGATTAGATGAGAGTCCTGGGCCATTGATTTCACCAGTGCCCATTCTCCAAAATCGGAATCACCTGACCTTTTGGTTTGCCGAGAACTGAGTTAAGGTGGCAGGCAGTGTTCTGTAGGGCAGTGGAGAACGAATCAGTCTTAGTGGGTTTTACATATGAAAAATCCTCAAGTGGTTCATAAAACGCAGTCTGTCATGTTTCTGTGGAACACGCTGTTCCCCACACAGGGCCTCTGGAACCGCCCTGCGCCGCCTGAGCACTGCCCGGGAGGCACCTGAGGAACTCTTAATGGAAACCGCATTTCGGGACCAGATTGCCTCAGCTCCATCCAGCCTCCGGGTCAGGAGCCCGGAGCCCGGGAATCCTTATGGCTGGAGACGGGAGGGCGGATCCTCTTTCCAGCTCCTAGAAGGAAGGCCCCTGGGCTGTGAATCTGTGCTCAGGAGAAGAAACCACCTGAAAACCAGGAACTACCTAACAGGCCCCAGATTCAATGTTTGTTTGCAGCTGTGATTCAAAGTACCCGGCAGCTCAGGTACCCTGGGCTGGCTATCAAATCAAGGAGGGAGCTCCCTGCTCTTCAGGGAGAAAACTAGAGACTCTGGTGCCATTGCTGGAGGCCTCTGAGAAGAGCAGGTCTTAGAGGTGTGGTCTCAGGTGAAGGCCGCCTCAGACTGAACTCGGCGGAGGACAGAGCGTGGAAGGGGCTGCGAGGCAGCGGTGTGGTGCTGGGAGGAGGAGGAGGAGGCCAGGGCCAAACAGCGCACTGACCTCGGCTCTCCTCCAGGCCTTCTCCGCAGCGAGGAGGAACCTGGGTCCCAGGCAGCCACCAGGAAAGCCAGCCTGGCCGGTAACGGAAATTCTGGGCCACAATGTACATTTGTCAATGCTCAGAGCAGCAGCCGATCCAAATCAGAGCTAAGGACAAGGAGGGCTACAGATAACATAAGCAGGAGCTGTTGGAAACCAGGAACAGGGCCTGTGATTTGAGGGAAAGCAATCTTTTCTTAGCCACATGCTGTCTTTGGGTTGGTTTCTTTTCGCTGGCACTCCGTTTCCTTCCATTTCCCCTTTTCTAACTCTAATTCCATTCCTTTCAGTCCTCTCTCTTAGACATTCTGCAATAACTAAGTAGTTCTTTGGTGACTATGTGAATGCACTATTTGGAAGTATTTTTAGTCAAAACCTGTTGAGGTTAGCACCACAGCTTTGTTTAACCTTAGACACCTGCCCTGATCTGATTTACTAAAGCCATCCGATGTTAGTCACCTGGGGCTTTTGGAGTCTTAGACGCGAAGAAGCGAGGGAGGGAGGGATTGGCTTGTGCAGCGTCAGCCTGGTGATTACAAAGCGACTTCCTGGACCACACAGATGATTCCTCTTCCCATCCCACTGCACCGAGCCCACAAAACTGGGTTACAGAGGCTGTTTTAGGGAAGAAATGCTAGTGGAGATTGCTTAAACACACACACTCTTAGCCCCTGAACAAGTAAGTGTCCATCTAGAAGAAGAAAAAAGTGGCAATCTCGAATCGTGGCCTTTACATTTTTTTGTGTATGTTTAGGGACAAAGGAGAAATCAGATTCCTTTGAGGTGGCACTATAAAAACTTTTATATTTCCCGTTCTAGCCTTTCTCTCGGCCACCTGAGCTGAGCTTGGCGTCCGTGTCTTTGGGGATCCAAGTGTCAATTTCTTTCACTCAGCGTTCATCCAACCACATTTGGTTCTTCATTTAAGAAATTCATTCCAGACATTTATTCAGCCTGTAAAGCCTAATAGTCAGCACCCAAGGCACAGCTCTGAGAGGTGTTCTGCCGTGGCAGAAGCACAATGTGCTAATTAACGAAATGTTTTGCCCCTATCTACTTCCCAGAATGCTCTAGGCCTGGCACTGGGGACCAAGGTCTGGGTTGCAGCCTGGCTGAACGGCACTTGTTCCACTGGCTTCTGGCAGAGCCCAGTGTGTCGTGCCAACTTTAGTCCTGCCTGGAGAGGGGGCGGCTCTTCTCACCCAGGACAGTCTGAGTGGTTTCCGTTTTCACAGATCCAGTTGAAAATGAAGTTTCAACAATAACCTGATTAAATCCCTAACCGGTTTAGCTCAGTGGGTAGAGCATTGGCCTGCAGACTGAAAGGTCCCAGGTTCGATTCCGATCAAGGGCATGTACCTTGGTTGTGGGCACATCCCCAGTAGGAGGTGTACAGGAGGCAGCTGACTGATGTTTCTCTCTCATCGATGTTTCTAACTCTCTATCCCTCTCCCTTCCTATCTGTAAAAAAATCAATAAAATATATTTTTAAAAATAACTGATTAAAAACCAAGAAGCAGAGAAAGTGGCCATTCAGATTCCATTTTGGGTGACACTAAAAATTTTACTATTTGTCAGATCCCAGAGTATTAAGATCTCCAAACTGACAAGCCTATATCAATAAAATAGCATAAAATATAACATTTAAAATATGATTTTATGGTATAACCATGTTGTTGCATTTGAACTTTGGTTTTACTTTTTCTTTACTGTTAGCTAGTTGCCAACTCTTCATTTTCTGAGATTTTGATGTTAAAATGCTTTGTAAAATGGTGGTGATAATGTATTCAGTTTTAATGTCCTCAGATCTTGACAAGGTGGCACCTATGTAGGTCCCAAAAGTTTTAAAATTCACTATTTTGTAAAGTCCCTCACTTTAAAAAAAAAATATATTTTTTTTATTGATTTCAGAGAAGAGAGATAGAAACATCAATAATGAGAGGGAATCATTGATTGGCTGCCTCCTGCATGCACTCTTCTGGGGACTGAGCAGGCAACCCAGGAATGTGCCCTTGACCGGAATTGAACCTGGGACCCTTTAGTCCGCAGGCCAATGCTCTATCCACTGAGCCAAACTGGCTAAGGCATAAAGTCCCCCACTTTTAAGAAACCACATCAGAATGCTCAGTATACTACAGCCTGATTACCTCTAACTGCCCTCCTCTGCTGGGTTGGCCACCCCTAACTGTCCTCCCCTGCAGGGCTGGTCTCCCACCACCCCCCAACTGTCCTCCCCTGCAGACCATCTTGTGTTCACATGGGGCAGCCATCTTGTGTGTTGGAGTGATGGTCAATTTGTATATTACCTCTTTATTATATAGGATTCTTCATAGGTTCAACTTTAAAATAACATTAAAATAAAAAACAACTGTGGTTTTCAATGTTAAGGGAAGTGTAGTCCTTGACATGCTGACTGATGAAATAGTTTCATAATTATGTTTATTTATTTATTGATTTCAGAGAGGAAGGGAGGGAGAGATAGAAACACCAATGAGGACTGTCATTGATTAGCTGCCTCCTGCACACCCGCAACCCAGGCACGTGAACTATGTTTTAATTTGTTCTGCTCTTGGTGTTGATCTAAACAAAAAATATTTGCACAGTTAGATGTATTCACTTCCTTCTTGAACACTTTCTATACTTTACAGAACTCTCAACTTCTTTTGTGCCTACCAGCCAAGCATCCTGAGGTTGCCTGGGAGACATGTTATTAATGGCAGGTACTCACCTGGGAGATGTGCTAGCTCGACACAGGCTGGGACTGTCTGGGAACAGTGCTTACAGCTGTCCAGAGGGGTCTTTCTCTGAAGGGCTTGGCTCCAATTCTCTCCAAACCAATCTCCCGGATGCTGTGGGGCCCATTTTTCAGGACAGCATACCAAATACACCCTCCAGTGGTGGGGAATATTTAGCGGTTCTCAGCCATCAATAGCAGGGGCCACTTTGACTGGGGGGAGGGTGGTCACAATAGCAGCCTCAGTAGGTCTGGACCAGGGAGGTTCATGAATCCTGCAATGGGGTAAGTTTTCCCCCAGGAAGGACCATCCCACCCAAAAGGCCAATCAGTGGTGCCTTCCCACCTACACAGGAAGCAGTTGTTGCCCAATACAGAAACTTCATTTTAGATATGTGTTTTTTTCCTACCAGAAAACAGGACAGATAGTTTTAATATGATACTTTATTAAATATCTACATTCCACAAATTATTTCATTGTGAATTACCCAAGAAATACAAAATCTCTCATTGGCTTTCTCCACCTTGGTTTAGTTAAGAAACTCTTATAACTCTAAAGCCATATCTTTTTCATTTCTTCAAAATGAATACTTTAAAAATAAATCACATATTCAGACTTGTTTGGTGATGCCTAAGTTTCAGAAAGTTTGTGAAGAAATCACATAGAAAAACAGGCACTTGGATGCAATCAAATGCCTTTTTTTTTTTTTTTTTTTTTTTAAAGTATCCTTTCACACAGTAGCTCTCATACATCAGAATTCCGGAGTCAGGGGCTGCTTTGCTGGCCCACTCAGAGTTTTTGAAAAGTTTCCAGGTGATGCTGATGGTGCCGGTCTGGGCACAGCCCTTTAAGAACTGCTGCTGAAAGATATATTCTCCAGAACTCCAACTAACAAGCAATACCCATGTGCCTTTACTTTTCTAATAGTAAAAAAAGATTTCTAATAAATAAAAGAACATTTCACATATGGCTCCATGAAACCTTAAATTTTCAGCCTTTTGAAATGTCCTACTTAAATAGAATATATAATTTATTCATCTTGGCTCATAATAATTCCTGAGTTCAAAAAAAGCAGGACCGCAGGACAGTCCAGTACTGGGTCATTTGCGACTACATGAAAACATCCACTTACACAGGGAGCTTGCTCCGGTCTCCTCCGTGCCTCTTCGGTTGGGAAATCCAGTACGAAATCATTAAGAATGAGAACGAGACCTATCATGAATGCAGACATAAAATGTCAGTGCACTGTCATACTTAAGCTTCTGAATCAGGAACTTCTTCATCAGGGCAGCAGTAATACTCCACAAAACATATCTGTCCATCTTCATTCCTAATCATATACTGTAACGAGAGGAATCCTCGGTTATCCGTCCGAATAGACACTTTGCACGACAGGACCAATGCCTTTGTAGACGGCTTCAGTAAAGAAATCTTGTATCTGCAGAAGAGGAAATAAATAGCTGTTATTTGGATACACGTCCAACAGGGCTCAGAACTCCAAGAACAAAAGTTAGCCAGCAACTACCATGGAGCAAATCCAATGAAATCCAATACTTATTCAATTTGCTTATATTTTCTCTTCATTAAAAAGAATTTCATCCACTATAACCCCAAATCCCCAAGTAAATCCAGAACCTACTGTTCATTTTTATTTATTTATTTTTTAAATATATTTCATTGATTTTGTACAGAGAGGAAGGGAGAGAGATAGAGAGTTAGAAACATCGATGAGAGAGAGTCATCGATCAGCTGCCTCTTGCACACCCCCTACTGGGGATATGCCCGCAACCAAGGTACATGCCCTTGACTGGAATCGAACCCAGGACCTTTCAGTCCCCAAGCCGACGCTCTATCCATTGAGCCAACCGGTTTCGGTCCTACTGTTCATTTTTAAAAAAATGCTACTTTTCCCAACAGATTGAAAGTTTTAAAATTTAAAAAAATGTATTTAATAGAAATTTGGTATTTAACTGCATCTTCATCACCAGAACTGACCTGTTAACTTGGGTTTCGTTACAATGAAAGGACTCCATCAGATCAGAATCTTTGGGATAGTCGAGGTGGGAGCTTCCCGCATTCCCAAAAGTGGACAACCTAGAGCGGGAAACGAGAAAGCCATGGATCGCTGGTCCAGCAGAAAGTCGCATCAGGTCCGAACAAAGACGGCACTTCCTTAGGAAGCCATTCCGCTTCCCACCACGGAACCACTTCCCACAGGGAGACGGGAGACAGCCAGGACCTTCCGACTACCCATGCCGAGAGAGGTCACAGAGGTGGGGACCCTCTCACATGCTCTGCTTACGTGCCTGGGATTTTAATTCATATCACTGTTTAAGTAGGGTTCCACTGATTTCCCTTTGGGTTAATATTTTAACAGATCTTGAGCCAAATATTTGACTGTCTAATGCACGAGAGGGGCGGGCCTTCAGTTCTCCTAAAGTAGATATTTAAAACCTTTACTCATTAATATTTTGTCATTATTTCTACAACAGTTTAAGTAGTACAACAATGAAAAGACCACTAGTTTCTGAATTAGGAGACAGAGCTACTCGTTTTGAAACCAACATTGCCTAACTATGCAATGAAGATTAACTAGTGAGTTGATTTTCCTGGTCTTAAGTTTTCTGATCAGTGAAAGTGTGAGAGGAGAGTAAAAGCTCGCTAGAGTTCTGAAAATTCTAGGACCCTGGATAACACTCTGCGTAAGTCCTGCATCCTCAGCGAATGTGTCAATAGGAAGATGGAGTAAAGGACATGAGTTGTAAGCGCACTGCCCTTTAGTACCTGAAGTAAGGTTTGTCAGGAGACATGGTGATCTGTAGGACCTCACTCGTCATATCCAATTCGGAAAATGCTTCGCGGAGCCCCTCTGACTGCAGAATAATCTTATTAATCACATTGGTGCTGCAGAAATCAAAATCCAGCGTTTCCTCAGGCTCCTGGGTATTGATTTTACAGACTGTCACCACGCCTCCTTCTTCCAGAAACAGCATCAAGGGGCAACCATAACCTTGGTAACACATTCGAAGCGCAGTTAAGTTCCCTGCAATGGAAATGCATCACACTTTAGATTTAGCTGTATACCTCTGGGTTCAGATTTTCATCAAATGTCACATAAAGCTTCTCAAGAACACATTAGCCTGCCCAATTTCTAGCAGAAATGTATGTCTCTCTATAAGAAAGCATCACATCTGCCCTGATGTACATACTGTCATCAGGGAATTCCAAATCTAACTGCGAGAAAGCTGGGAACAAAATGTAATGTAACTCAGAAATCCTTTCCAGCTGGGCAAAACACCTCCAAAATGCCTTACTGATCATATGTACACACAATTTCAGGAGGGAGAGTACACGGTCTGATACAGCAGAATAGACCATGCTGCTTCTTGAAGGTGCAATTTGTACAACAGTGGATTGCTGTGATATTATCTGTACTATAGTGCCAGTGTATTCACTATAAGCAAGCATGTAAAACTCTCAGCTTGCGGGCCACAAGTTTGACATGCTTGGCTTTAAGATGTCCAATCTTTTCTTTTGGGAGACATTCTTTACATTTTCCCCAAGGTTAAGATCAAATTGGGAGGAAAAGAGAGGGTAGTTAATGGTGGTTAGGGTTTTAACTCTGAAAACCATCAGACAGGAAGAGGAGTATGACAGGACATTCTAGCTCCTCTCCCTTCCTGAAGATGGAGGGCCACAGTGAGGAGGGGGTGGGGGGAGGCAGATGCTTTTAGGAAAAACCAGCTGCATTAAAAAATGTAATTGATGCCCTAGCCAGTCTGGGCCTTGGCCTGCGGATGAAAGGGTCCTGGGTTCAGTTCCGGTCAAGGGCACATTCCTAGGTTGCAGGCTCCTCTGCTGTCCCGGCCCTGGTCAGGGCTCGTGTAGGGGGCAACCAACCGATGTGTTTCTCTCACATCGGTATTTCTCTCTGTCTTTCCCTCTTTCTTCCACTCTCTCCAAAAATCAATGGAAAAATATCCTTGGGTGAGGATTATAAAAAAGAAAAGAAAATGTATAACTAATAATGAAAGTACAGTATAAAATTAAAGTATATTTTCTAGAGAATAATAAGTACTTATATTCTAATAATGCCATTCTATGTCCAGAAAAAATAGTTATTATAATAATAATTAAATGGTTCACCTGGCATAGGATTTGATCCAAAAATAGATAAGCAGTCTAAAAGGACAGTTAAATTAATTCGGAAAGTAACAGGCTCTTCCTGAACTTTAAACTCTTGAAATATTCCAGCCTATGAAAAAAAGTAAACATGAAAAAAGTAAGTATATTTAAGAATGAGACCTCACACATAAGGTTTTAGATTTCACTTTTATGTTTTTAAAAAAAAACCAATATTATGCTAATCCCATGAAAATAATTTCTGATTATCAATCAACACATCTTAAGCTTTTTAAACTATCATCCATTAGAATAACACTAGTCAAGTCCTAGCTGATTTGTCAGTGGATAGAGCATGGGCCTATAGACTGAAGTTTGTTCCAGTCAAGGGCATATATCTGGGTTTTGGGCTGAATCCCCAGCAGGGGGCGTGCAGGAGGCAGCTGATTAATAATTCTCATCATTGATGTTTCTATCTCTCCCTTTTTCTCTGAAATCAATAAAATATATATATATTTTTAAAAAAGATTAACACTAGTCAATAGCTAACAGTATAATGGGGATTTAGGTTCATGCACAATTTTATGTAGGGCTTTTCATCTAGTTTCTTGGATCTAAACTATTCCCAACCCCCCACTCAACCTCCCCCTCCCCCCCATTCTCCAGTCTCCTTTTTGGAGCCATCAATACAGCTGAGGTCACCTGGAAAATTGCCAAACAATTTGATAATGCCTGAGTGACAGTTCTCAATTTCTTTTGAGAATAAAAACCATGTCTCATTTATCCCTGAAGTCATACTATGCACTTAGATGTTCAAAAACATGCTGAACTAAATCTAAAATTTGAACCATACAGATGTAACTTTGTAAGAACAAATATATACATTACATTATAACCAATAGAGGGGAAACTATTTTTTAAATAAGGGAGATTGCAGTAAAGAGCACATACTCTGAAAACAAATGTTCTCATCCTAACTCAGCCACTTGCAAGCTATGGTGCCGCTGGCCAATCACTTAAGCTGTGCCTCAGTTTCCACATACATGAAATGGGAATAACAGCCTATCTCATAGGATAGTGGTTCTCAACCTTTCTAATGCCGTGACCCTTCAATATGGTTCCTTATGTTGTGGTGACCCCCGACCATAAAATTATTTTCGTTGCTACTTCATAGCTGTAATTTTGCTACTGTTAATGAATCATAATGTAAATATTTGTGTTTTGTGACGGTCTTAGGTGACCCTGCTAGCCGTGTGTTGCGACCCACAGGTTGAGAACCCCTGCTGTAGAGCCTAAGACCATGGGAAAACACAGGTATTTACATTACGATTCATAACAGTAGCAACATTAGAATTATGAAGTAGCAACGAAAATAATTTTATGGTTGAGGGGGTCACCACGACATGAGGGTCGCGGCATGAGAAAGGTTGAAAACCACAGTCATAGGACTATTGTGAGGACTAGATGAGTTTAACTACATAAAACACTCACAAGAGGGCTTGGACTCTTAAGCTTTGGGACGTTTTTAGTTTTAACCATGCTCTCGCTAAAACACGGGGAAAGAATTTGTTGGGGGGGGGGAAGGGAAACAAAACAAAAAACGAAAAGCAAACGACCTGTCGTTCTCTAACTTACACGGCGCCTACGAAAGCCTTGGATCTCATCACACCGGGTGCGGAGTGAATGCCAGCGCCACTGGCTCGCGGCTGTCTAACTGACCCACCTGGATAAAAGCATTCGCTTGCACACACTTGGCATTCTCCACCGTCACCTTGATCCCATTCCTGGTGGCGAAGCAGGTGGCGTGCTCCCGGAAGTGGATGGCCCTGAGCACGGTGGACAGGCTCCGCACGTTGTCCAGGCTGGCCGCCAGGCTGTAGCCGCTCTCCTCCGGGGCCCGCTGGCTGACGAGGGGCATGGTCCGCGGCGGGGGGCGCCTCCTGCTCCCGCGGGCCACGCGGCCCGCACCCCTGCGGAGACCCAGCGAGACCTGTCACCGCCGCGGGCCCGCCCCGGCCCGCGAGGCCTGCACCCCACCTCGGCCTGGGACTCTGGGGACCCGACGGGCGGCTCCCTGGCCTCTAGGAAGAGGACGGCAATTCATGGGAAGTGGTGCATCCTGAAACGAGGTCACCAGCAAGTCACAGTGCTGACGGCCAGCTTCGCCCCGTCCAACGGGGGGCCAAGGATCCCCCCGATTCCTCCGAAGACCCACTTGGAGTCCCGGCCCGCCGCGCCGGGGGTCGGAGCGGGAAGCGGGGCATCTGTGTGCTGGTCCCGGGATCCCGGGCCCCAGGCGCGGAAACCGTACCTTCGCGGCGGAGTCCGGGCGCCGGGGAGCCTCCCCAGCCAGGTCACCGGGCAGGCGAGGCGCAGCTCCCGGGGAAACCGGGAGGACGCGGAACTGCTCCCGCCACGGCTTTCAATCGCCGGGACCGCCTCGGCCACCGTCACCATAGAGCTGGGCGAGGCCTAGAGAGGCGACCGGAAGGAGGCGCCCTAGGCCGGCGGAGGACCCAGAGCGCAGCGCGCGCGGGACCATAGAGACGGGAAGTGGGAGCGAGAGGCCGCGCCGGAAGGAAGAAGACCCGGCGCGCAGGCGGCGCGGCAAGATGGCGGCCACCAAGAGGAAGCGGCGTGGAGGCCTGGGGGGCCCGGCGAAGAGGCCGAGGAAGAGCAAGAAGGATGCCAGGCCTGCAGCGAAGCAGCGCGACCAGGCCGAGGCGGCGGAGGAAGAGGACAGGAACCGCATCCCAGGCCCCGTGAGCAAGGTAAAGGGCTGCTCCCGGGTTCCCCCGCGGCCGGCGGCCGGCGCCCTGCGCCTTCCCCGGGGCCGCCTACCGAACCGCGGGTTCCCGAGTCGCTGTGTCCCGCTCGCTCGGCCGGCCCGGCCCCCGCGTTCACATCTCACTCGCGGGCACGAGGCTGCCCGGGAGGCGCCCGGCCGAGCGGCTGTGCGGCCTCCCGCGCTCTTCCGGGCGGGAAGCCGCCGCCGGAGCCCCCGGCGCAGCTCTGGTCTCTGGTCCCCGCCCCCTTGGGGGATGGCTAGGTGTTGGCTGTGTCCCTTAGCATCACCAGTCTCCCCGGGCTCCGCCGTAGCCATGCGGGCTTCTCCAGCAAGCACTGTCCTTGGGACTGGGACCTGGGTTTTGTTTGTTTGTTTGTTTGTTTTGTTTTTACTAAATCTTCACCGAGGATGTTTCTGTTGGTCTGTAGGCGGGGAGAGAAACATCCATGGGAGGGAAACACCCGTTGCCTCCCTTACGGATCCCCATCTGGAGTGGAGCCGCCACCCCTTTGGGGTCGGGAGGACGCTCCATCCGCGGAGCCCCGGCCCGCGCCGGCCCGTTTGGTGTCTAACTCGGCGGGGGCAGCGCGGGCGGTGGGTTTCACGGGCGCCCAGCAGCCACGGCGTCAGGCTCTACGGAGCCAGGTTTTTCCCGGCCTTGGGATTGCAGAGCGAGATCGCGACCTCTTCCCTTTTCCTGAAACGCGGGGGTTTAGAAGGAAGCCCAAGGGAGAATCCATACACGTTGGTGGTTTTTTATTCAAAAGGAAGTGAACAGCTAGACGGAATACTGTGCAGACAAGAAGTGCTTTTGATTTATTAATCCCTGTGTCCCCGGCTTAGCATACGCTCTAGTACCTGTAAGTGATAGAAATATGGTTCTGTGCGGTGTAGGGGCAAGCACTAGGAAGGGGATTAGCCCCGAGGAATGAAAGATGACTTTAAATTCTAGCCTTGTTATTAGTAACAGTGAAATGGTGGGCTTTTCCCCATCTGCATTTTCAGAGGAAGGAAATGTGATAGCCTCTTTGTGAAGAATGTAGTCTATTTTCAGTCATGTTAGTGCTCTCGTTCTTAAGGACCAAGAAAGAATATGAGAGTAACAGTGATCTGATACGAAATCTGGTATCAGCACGTCTTGATATGAAAAATGCTATTGAAGATAGAGATTACTTTTCCCCGAGGATAATAGGGTAAAGGATCATAAAGGAACTCTATAGCCTCTGAGCTGGATCTCAAAGTAAGGGCAGAATTGTGATATTCAGAAATGAGAGGGAACTGTACAAGGAAGAGAGAAGAAACTGACCAGAGGTGTTGAAGTGTGAGAAATACTGAGAGTTAAAGCAGCTAAACCAGGTGCTCTTATGCTCACATCTCCTGAACTGGAAGGCCCCAGGGGACTTGAACCAGGGGAGCAGTGGGCAGCAACAGCTCATCCCAGGCTAACCCCTGAACCTGTCTCAAGGCCCCTTTTTCTCTGACTTGCTGTGAGCTCACATAGCCCCACCTCTGCTCATACTTTCCCCATCATGTTTCACCAGAGCCAAAGCGTTTCCACCTGTTCTGTCTCCCATTGCTTCATCTGCCTTAAGCCCTTCTTTTCCTCCACAGCTTTAATAAACATACTCTAAAAAAAATAAAAATAAAACAAGGTAGAACCCGATTGGCTAAACAGGGTAGAACCCGATTGGCTAAAGGACAATAGGAGGGGAAAATATAAATGTGTTTTAGAACCCATTGGTAAAGCTATGTCATTTTTGGACTTTGCCTAGAAAAACCTAGGAGGTAGGATGTGGTTGGAACTGAGCTTGAAGGTTGTGCTGCTGCTAGTCAGCCATGTCTGTTGGAGGGGCTCCTGGTCAGGAAGGCTGGCCATTTAGGGATTGGCAGTAAGAATAGAATTATGAGGGTCTGAAGGAGTGCAGTGGGTGCAGGAAAGGAGAGAGCTGTTACAAAGGACAGTGACAGCACTTAGCAGTGCTTGTGATGTGAAAGAATTAGGGCCAGAAAGAGGCAGAGCCTGGGGGCCTGAAATGGTGGTGAGCGCATCAGAAAAAGAAATAGACCTGTGATTTAGTATTCTAGAATGGAATTTGAGATTAGTAGAACTGGACAGTTCTTTACCGTTTTGAAGAGTTGACCCTTCATGCTATGGGAATGACTGAGAACTCTCCTGGAGAGACAGAAGTAAAAGAGGCTAAGGAAGAATCTTTCATCAGGAGGAGGGACTGGAGACACTGAAGGAAAACCACAAGGGAAGGCAGCCAAGCAGGGGATTTCTGGGTGGCAGTCAGGTCTGAATACTGCTGAGAGATTGACAAAGTTTTGGTCAGCATTGTTTGGCTTGCTACTTGGAAGCTGTTGTCTTTGTAAACAAACGAGGTATGTTCACTCAGATTTAAGAATCTTTTAACATTTTATTTTTCTTTAGGGCAAGTGGAAAAATAAGGAACGGATTCTCATCTTTTCTTCCAGAGGGATAAATTTCAGAACAAGACATTTAATGCAAGACTTAAGAATGCTGATGCCGCATTCTAAAGCAGGTGCCTTTGTGTCATACTTGCAATTTTATGTTATGTTTATAAACGTGCATATTAATATATTTCCAGTTCAAGTCACACATCAGTTTTTCAATCTTGTGAGATAAAGAACCAGTACTCTTTCTAAAAAATGTATCTTTTTCAGTGCCGAGATTTTTCCAGGTAACATTTTGCCAGAAATTCTTTGCAAACTTTGTTGAACACCAAGGCCCACCCAATGCATGAGATATGTGCAAGCCCCTCCCGCTATGGTTTTGTTCGGAAGGAAGGGCATTTGGTCAAATTAGCATATTGCACTTTTATTATTATAGATTCTCTTCACTTTCTTAAACAAATATCCTGATTCCTGGAACATTCTTGAAAGTCCAGAAGAAATGCCTCCATAGTAATGCTCTTAGCCATCCTGGTTTGTCATTTTAAATGACTCAGGACTGCTTTCTGCATTAAATTACAAACAACTGTCCTCATCTAAAGACGAATGGACCTGAAGCAGGATTTCAAGCACCTTTAGGTGTCACTCAATCCCCTTCTCACTGCCCAGCTAATCTTTTTAGCACTGAGGTATCTTACAGGCAGCTGAAGAACAGCTAGTTTTAAGTTTGGAACTGTTGGTAGTGCCACCATTGAGCTGTTTCTGTGTCTGTGTTGATTCTAGACAATAACTTAAGTCTTTCTTTAAATCAGTGTTTCTTGAACTTGAACTCTGGTCTGCTGCTACATCTTCAGATCTCTGAAACTAATAAGAGAAATTTTTAATTTGTATCAGTTTTCTTTTTTCCTGTGATAATATGAAATCATTTGTTTTATTAGTTTCCTTTAGCAACTGTGATTCGTATTTAAAAGAAATTTTCATTACTTCAAGTTTTAGTTTGAGTTTTTCATAACTGGAGTCCTAGAACATGGTGTTCAGTTGTGAGAATTTTTTTACTTTTGAAAGGGATTCACAGAATACATAAAGTCTAGGAAACTGCTTAAATCTTTGTTTATAATTCTCGAGGACTACTTTTAATTACTTTTTTTTTAAAGAGAGAAAAGAGGAGAGAGAGAAACATTGCTGTGAGAGGAAAACATCAGTTGTTTGCCTCCTGCGTGGGCCCTGAGCCGGAGTCAAACACATTACCTGTTGGTGCACAGGATGGCATTCCAGCCAGCCACCTGGCCAGGGCACAGTGCTCATTTCCACCTTTAAAAAGAATCAAGATTTCCGAGAGGTTGTGATTTCAGATCTAATCATTTTGAATATTGATACGATTGCATTAAAAGCATGTGTGATTTGATTGAAGGTGCTTAGGAATCTTGTATTTACTTGTTTTTTCTTTTTTTCCTTACAGATACTAAAATGGATCGCAAAGATAAGTTATTTGTGATTAATGAGGTAATTTTAGAAAGTAATTAAAGTATTCTGGGAACACTATATTTAGGAAGTCAATTATTCAATGACTTTTACATTGCTTTATAGAAGATACTCAGATTTTGTTAAATCTTCAGTAATGTACCTTCTACATTGTTATAGTACTTACTGTCTATGTCTTATAGTTTAGTGCTTCTGTATTATTCTTAGTCGTTCTATTTATCTTGTTTCAACACCATGTTGATATTTCATGAGGACAAGGACTCTAGCTCATTCTTTTCTCCTCATGTTTAGAATAGTGAGAAGTGCATACTTGGGTACACATACAGAATTATTCAACATGTATAAGATAAAAGTATTTTTAAAACCCCACATTGTAGAAAGCGTTTTGCCAGTATTAAGTAAAATGATGTATGTCATACTTGCTCCTAAGATACTGCAAAGTAGTAATGAGGTTAAATTTTCAAAGTTGTTGAAGAGACTAACCTTACCTTGAAAGCAGATTTTTAAAAACGTAGAAGAGTTTTTAAAGGTACTTTTCTTGAGCAGTTAGGCTTTTAAGCCATTCAGCACACGTTTTTGAACCTGTGCTAGATCGTGACAGAGCAGTCCCGTGCCACCGGGGATCTTGCCTGCTGCGGGGCGGGCCAGCGCAGCCTAACATAGCAGTGAACACAGGAGGGGAAAGCAGGGCCCACAGCTGAGGTGGACTGGAAAATGGTCAGCGTAGTGTTGCCGCGGTCATTCCAAGCCAGAAAGGAAAGCTTTGGACCTATGA